GCAGGCCATGGTTCTGTGGATTTTTAAATGCATTTTTGTTACAAACTTCCAGCTAAGAGAAATCCAGACTATGGCAGTCCTGGTGTTTCCTTGAAGGGGCTGGACGGGATGGTCCATAGGGTCCCTTCCAGCTCTTCCATTCTAAGATGATGATGATGCCCCATAAGAAGTGAATGAAAGCATTCCAGGAAGGAGCAGCTTCTTCAAGGGGATAAGAAGTTAGCATACCCTGTTTCGACTCTCCCGTTTTGAATGTCTTAACCCGACTCAAGGATCGCACCCAGATTTCGGACACCGGACTTCACAGGGTCCTTTATTACATACGAGAGTACACACCGCCAGTCTGCTCCCCGGAGACCTATCAAAGATTCCCGCCCAGTTTATTTCCTAGCCTCAGTTTCCCAGTTTTGGAGAATTGGGTTAGGGGTTCCCCTAATTTTATTTTTTTAAATGCAAAGAACAAAGTAAAAAAAAAAACAACAACAACCTATGTCAGAGTAGCAAAGATGTATTCAAAACCACTAGCCTTCCAAAAGGGTCAAAGTCTATATCTCAGGTCAAAGAGGAAGAGGACGGAGGTTCGGTGTCTTCCTACATGAGAACTCTGGTCTCACCAGACGCGGCACTGCTGGATCACCTCCTGAAGGGCTCGGATCGCCTCGATGCTTCTGTCCTTCAAGGCCACGGCCAGGAGAACGGGCTTGTTCCCGGCCTGCTGGGATACGGAGCTCACCAGATGTTTGGCGCAGATGTGGAGGAAAGGCTGAAAAAAGGAAGGAGACCATTTCTGGTGGGGGGGCGGAGAGCTCTTTCCACTTTCCTGAGCTGACTGGAGGAAAAAAGGGGCAAAATGATATTCAAGTGGGGAAAGAAGACTCGAGGCCTTGCATGTCCCAACAGAAAGGAGGGATAAAAATAATAAGAGAAAAGGAAATACAGAAGGACCCCCTTATCCGCGGGATCCGTATCCACTGATTCACTTATTCATGCTCTGAAAATATTAAAAGGAAGACTCCGATATATATATATATTAAATGATGAAGTTACTAAAACAGGTTACTTAGTAGACGGAGGCGAAGACCTCCATCTAATAATAAAACAGTGTTCCACATTTTCAGCATACATGGGGGGGCCTTGGAACCAAGATCCCGCTGATACAGGGGTCTTTCTGTAAAGACAAACAAGCAGAGAGACTGACAGGCAGCTGGAGGGGGGAAGAAAGGGAGGTGGGGAGAGAACCGTTAGGCCCCTGAAAGGAAACTGAGGCAGGAAAGAACTACCTCATCTTTGCCCAGGAGGACTTTTGTGGAAAGCAGGGGCTTGGTGAGGTTGTCGGGCATGGCGTCCGGTTCCAGGGAGACGAGGGTCCCCATCTTCCCGTACTGGGTCACGACCACCAGGATCGTGTTCCCAAAGGCTGTGCACACCACCTGCGTCGGGACGCCCCTCACCACCTCTTCCGCCTGCTTGGAGTCCAGGAGGGGTTTGTCCGCCATGGCCGAAGAGGGGGTGGTGGAGGATCTGCCAAAAGGGAAGAAAAACAGCCAGAAAAAAACCCAACAGGGAGAGTTTTTTTTAAAAAAAAACAAAGACTTTGAAATAAAAACACTTTTAAAAAAAGATTTAAAGGAGGCACATTTCTGCGATCCGTCAAAATGCATCTGGATCTGCAAAGCAGCTCAGGCACAGAACTTCACCTGTTGAATTTCGCCCCGCAGCACCTCATTTATTTGAGCCGTGAGTCTTTAAAGGTGGAGGAAAAAGAGCGCCGTGGACACACACAGATAGGCTGCCCGAGTTTGCAAGTGTTCCTTTTTTTTGGACTACAAGACCCAGAATCCCCCAACTTCACCAGCCGGGGACAATGGGAATTGTAGTCTGAACACCACCATTACGCTGGAAAACACCGCTTCTGGTCACACTTTTCGGCCCGCTTCCCCCCCCTGGCTGCTACCTTCTGTCATATCATATGTGATGAAGGAAAGTGAGGCTCTCAAAAGCTTGCACCGGTTTTTGGTTGAACTCATAAAGCAGCCACTATTTATTTATTACTTATTTATTCAAAATATTTTTACCCCGTTTCTTCCTCCTTAAAAAGGTGCCCAAGCCAGCTTCTACCATTAAAAATATTTAAAATCTATAAATATAAATACAGTATTTATATTTATTTGGTTCTTTTCAATTCCTGCATCCTTGCTGTCTTTAGTTTTTAAATAGTGTAAATATATTTATATTTAAATTATA